ATATGAGAGTGAGAATGGAAGACTGAAGTCAGTCATCAAATATGAGAGTGAGAATGGAAGACTGAAGTCAGTCATCAGATTGTTCGTACAACATTGTGGCAATGATAACATCATCTGCTGTTTCTGCTCTCCTCAACGTCAGAAATAAAATATCTTAAAAAGGGATCTGAAGTAGCCAATTTTCAATCAGAGAAAAATGCATACTGGAAACAAACTGAATTTGAATGTTTACCAAAGACAAAGAGGCTGAATCAGTAAGATGAATGATAACACCAGTTGCCAGCAGTGTAGTCCAACTCATGGTGCCCCGCATGTGTCAGAATAGAACTGTGCTCCACCCACAGGGTTCTCAGGGCTCCTCGTTCACAAGCAGACAGCCAGGCCTTTCTCCTGAGGTACATCAGGGTGGACTGAACTCTCACCCTTTCGTTCAGCAGCCAAGCAGGTGAATTGGCCAAACCACAGTGAGAATGACATATGCTAGTACAGCGCTCTCCCAGACACGCTGACAGATGGCACATGAAGAGCTCTTTTACATTCATTTCCAATTTGTACTGTGGCATGCTTCCAAACAGTTTCCAAACAGGGAGTGAAAAAACAAAGCAAGGGGTTGGAAGGTGGGAATCGTGTAGTACGGGGAGTAGGAGAAGGCAGAACAAAGCAGAGAGTCCTGAGGGTCCTGAGATGGGGGCAGGGAGACCACAGACCTTCCCATTAAACAGGACATTCCACTCAAAATGCATGACATGTGACTCTTTGAACAACTCAGAGAGGAGAAACCTGTCACTTTCCCTCAGGCACAGAGCGCACGCAGTCTCCCTTCTTACCACTGACGACCGCCCACTGTCCGTACTGCTTGATCAGGTCGGCTCGGCTCACCAAGCGAGGGATAAAATGCAGCCTGACCAGGCTATAGAAGTCACAGACGACGGTGATGCTCTTTCTGGCTGTGTACCAAGCGCCGACCAGGGCTAAGGCTTCCATATAGCAATTGCAGGACCGCGCTATCTCCCTGTATAACAGGTAGAAGCTGTCCACGGCGGCCATGGTGCCAGCAGCCTGCAGGGAAAGAGGAGAGACGTTCGCGTTAGTGAAGTGAATGAACGTGCAAGAGTCTGAGTTCAGGAAGGCCTCAAGGGGCACTGGATTCTCAACAACTCCGAATTCCAGTAACAGTAACCCTGCAGATGTGTGTCATCTGTGGATCCAAACCAAAAAAGGCACCAAAGCAGCTGCCATCAAGTCAGTGCCGAGCCTTTAACCATTCACAAGCAAGTGCTTAACCACTGTGCCACCAGGGCTCCTCAGCCTGTGGATCTGGTCCACTTACTGTCACAACTTAAAGAGCTGCAGCTTATAAAGGGCTTTCCTTGTGAAGAGATGAATGTATACAACTACCAAGAGTTACCACACCCCTAAGCCAAGCACTGCACATATATTGCAGCTGTAGGGGCAGACACAATATGCCCTATGCCTCAAAACAGCGTCTTGTCTCATGCGGTCAAAGTTCATTCTAGTGCAGGATGGCTCAGTTCGCCCTGTTGTAGCAAAGCTGTGCTGGTTTATTATGTGTTGTGTGTGACAGTTGGCAAAGTACAGAGAGAGCAAAGCACCTGCCACCAGGGTTCTGGGTGCGTGTGTGTACGTGTGCATGGTGCTACAGGATAAGTGCAAGACTGTCGAGAACCGGCCTCATCACGGGGGTTCAGTTCACAAAGGAGGGAGATCTGGCGGCGACAGAGATAGAGAAAAAGTACACACAAAGACACAGAGAGAACACAAAATACCCCAAAACCAGCGTGGATGCGACACTGGCGGGCAGACCCTGGACTACGGGCATCATGGCCCCTGCAGGCAGTAAAGCACCGCCCTGCAAACCATAACGCATGCCTTGCCAGTTGTAACGCCTCGCATGCCAGCCATAATGCATGCGGGCTTGGGTCTGCGCCTCCCTTTTATTTCGGGGAGGAGCTTTACACAAAGGAAGGCGGGGTTTATTAAGATGGGGTACAGAAATGAAATGTGATTAATCGTTCAAAACAGGACACGATGATTTACAGGAATCAAATTCTAAAACATATATCACATATTGTCTTGATAATCTAACATCCTTAATTTTCCAGAAATTCAAGCAAATAGTTATATGACACTTTTCAGGTTCGAATCCCAGGGCAACAACTCGGTTTCTCCAGGCTAATTAACATACCTATAGCACCTACCCTCGAATAGGAAAAAGGTGGAAAGAATTGAGAGGAGTCCCGCTGTGTCAGCTGCCTGGCTGAGACTTGCAAGAGGAAGCAAGACGCCTAGCTGAATGGTTTGCACCTGGGGTCTATCTGGGAAGTCAGACACCTATTATTCTTTAGACAAAACCCTGGAATTCGCCAATCCACTTTGGGTGAACTCCTTGGGGGAAACTTGCTTTTGGAACTTTTTACAGCCTCGGCTTTAGGAGCAGTTTTTTGTTTTAATATTTGTCCATGGGTATCAAGGGCTCATGTACTAAGTTAATATCAAACATAACTGAATAATTTGATAAAGAACAGTTTGGACGAGCTTGCCCAGTGGCCAGAGTTTGTTCCTCAGAGAGATTTGTTCCTAGAACCTTAAGCACTGCCAACACAGTGGAGACATTAAGAGAGGCACATAAGAAACCATTTTCTCAGAAGCTAGAAGCATTTACTGGAGTAAGAAGCATAGAATGATTTAATAGGACTAAAGCAAATTACACAGAAGTAGCCCAACAGTGAGTTCGTAAAAGCCAATGAACCCGGGACATCCGGAGGTTACTTCCTTGAGCCCTCAGGGTCTCTGGCCAGCAAACCTGAGTGCGGCCACGTGCTGGATTTTCGTCCATGACACTGGTCCTCAATACCCCAGTACCTGCAGTCTGCAGCACAAGACCACAAGGTTGGTGGTTCAAACTCACCAGTCGCTACTTGGAAACGCTATACTGGGTGGCTATGAGTTAGAACCGACTCGACGGCACTTAACAACAACATATATATAGGTATGTAGTTGTTGTCAAGTGCCGTCGAGTCGGTTCCAACCCATAGCGACCCTCGGTTTCCGAAGCTGTAAAATCTTTATGGGAGCAGAAAGCCTCATCTTTCTCCCACAGAACAGCTGGTAGTTTCGAACTGTTGACCCTGAGGTTAGCAGCCCAACTCGTAACGTTCCTTTATGTATATATCTATATCTATAGATAGATAGATAGATATGCGTGTGTGTTCATGTATGTGTATATACATACGTATGTATAATACAAACACAAGGATGCAGCTTTTATTATCCATAAGTAAGTTGATTCTGAGGCAAAAGAGGTAAAATGTAAAATTTCTGGACAAGCCCCCTCTTATAAATATCCCATTAAAATTAATTTAAAAAAAAAAGCATTTTAACTGTGAAAATATGCAACAGCAGCAGCAGAAATGTAGCACATCTTCAGGAAGAATACACCGAATGAGGAGCTCACCCCTGCCCTGCTGTGGTGTAATCCATGCTCCACCAACCTTCTCCAGAGCCAAAAACCAAAGCACGGAAAAGCAGCGACCCAAGGGGGTGGGACACCTGGAAGGCACTAGATGGTGAGAAAAGCACATCCAATAATGGGGGAAATGGGGGTGGTAGATGGGTATGTGCAGCCCGAACCAGAAACCAACAAGCCTCCCGAAGAAATAGGGTAGAAAAACGAAAGGACAGACGCGATGGACATTCCAAGATACCCTCACGGTATGGATGGAATCTCTCAGGGGAGAAAGGAATATCACGTGGTTACCACATTACATGACTGACACGGTGTTAATTAATTAGTTCATTAATGAAAGACACAGCTCTCTCAAATAACAATTCAGAAAACGACTGAAGTCAGGCCTCCTCTTTTCCTATTGGGAGAATGCAACCTACACTGGGCGTCTTTTCACAGAAACTCATCTACTGCAACAAGAAATGCCAAAACATTATACATGTATGTTAAGAAAACGTTCATTAAAAGAACACGTTATACACGTATGTTAAGGAAACATTCATGAAATGAACACGTTATACACGTTTGTTAAGGAAACATTCATGAAATGAACACGTTATACACGTATGTTAAGGAAACATTCATGAAATGAACACATTATACACGTGTTAAGAAAGCACTCATGAAAAGAACACATTATACATACTTGTTAAGAAAACATCCATGAAAATAACATGTTATACACATGTGTTAAGCACATAAAGCAAATTATTGCTGTTGTTAAGTTCTGTCAAGTTGGTTCCACCTCATAGTGACCCTGTATAAAGTTTCCAAGGCTGTACATCTTTGCGGGAGCAAAAAGTCTCATTTTTCTCCAGCTGAGTAACTGGAGGGCTGGAACCACTGACCTTGTGGTTTGCAGTTCATTGGTTACCATACAGAGTCACCACGCTCCTCATAAACCAAATACGTTAAAGAAAAATAGGAAACAAATGTCCCTTTCAGGTCAGTTTTTCTTTGTGAAACCAACTGGCTGTTTCCTGAAAGAGGAGACATTTGGAGTGAAGTTGCCGCTTGCCTTTCCCGATCACTTCTTCAGGCACCAGGCAATGCCAACCCTCCCCATGCCCCACACCCGTTTGCTCCCAAATCATCTGCAATGCTTCAAGAGTTTGGTTATCCTCTGAAGAACATTCCTTCTGCTTGGTTCTCCATGAGCAGCTCTCAAGGCTGTTAAGAGAGAGGGACCAGGGAGGCCTGTTCACCACCCACCCTGGCAGCCACTCCGGCTCTATCCTGGCCTTCAATCACCCCAGACTGACAGATGGGGAAGCCCGCCAGCCATCCGGGTAACAGAGGGGGTCACCCAGTCACAATCACAGGCCCCCCCAGAGAAATGATCAAAGCACTAACTTCTTATAATAAAGGAAGTAAGAACCAAAGATTCACATGAAACCATCCTACGGTCAGGCGTTCCTGGAATGTTTTTAAAAGCATATGTGTGCCTCTTGCCTGAGCGAATCAAACACAGACAAGAGGAAAGTAAACACAAAACAATTATATACACCCTAGTGCACCTCAGGGGGCCCTGGTGGCGCCCACAGTTAAACACTCGGTTGCTAACTGGAAGGTCAGCAGTTGTTAAGTGCCGTTGAGTTGGTTTTGACTCCTAGCCACCCAGTATAGGGTGTCCAAGAAGCAAATGGTAAGTTTGAACCGCTGACTTTGCATTTCAGTGCTTATCCTACAGCACCACACCAGGACCACACAGAAAAGCCTGGAAAGCCATGTGGGGCAGTTCTACTCTCTTACACAGGGTCGCTATGAGTCAGAATCAACTCGCCAGTAAACAACAATAAAACATACCTTATATATGGGGTGGCCCACTGATGAAAAGCTATGTAAAAGAAACAGCTTCCCCCTTAAATAAGCCCCCACCCAAGAATTTAAATACTTGTGAGGTAAAAACCCCAAGAATATACAAGCAGCTATCTAAGGCACAAGAAATGGCCTCTATTCACCTAGAACAAGAGAGGAAGGAGAGTCCGGAACAAGCGGAAGAAATGGAATGCGTGGCTCCCTTTGCCATGATGGCTACCATCACTGTACAACCTAATCAAAGATTCTGCCAAAGAATCCATGTCAAAAGGGGGAAACTGAAGAACAGAATTTTATAGTCTCATGGACTCCAGATTTTCACGGAAACCACCGCCCAGAGATAATCTTTAACCTTTAAATTACAAATATCCTCTGAAGTCTTCTTAAAACCAAACAGCATGAGTAGTTTAGCCTAACGAGTAAAAACTCTCTGCCTTGAACAGTAAGCTCTCTTAAGAACTACATCTCTGGGATCAGAGTGACAGCGGCAACTCAGAAGTTTAGCTAGGAACCTTAGGGAGCAGTGAGCTGGTGTCGTGGGCGAAGAACAACTTGGGAAACAAGGGTGAGAATGGTTTACAACTCACAGAGACTGTCATCACCGGCACTGAGATGCACACATAGAAATGGTTGTATGGTGTGTGTTTTGTTATGTATATTCTCAACAACAACCTGATTAAAAAAAAAAAGATTAAAAGTTTGA